GTTATGAGGTCACACCAAAAACGTGCACTTATTTTTATATATAAGATTCCTTGAGGAAGACGCGAATATTCATCGAAACAAGTAGGAGGAAAATAAACGTTTATTTTATTTGTAATAAAATACTGAAAAGTTCCATACACAACATTAAACTTTCAGCTTAGTCGAGGAGAAATAATAATAACATAGTACTTGTATGCTTGGTTTTTGTACGGCTGCTAGTACCACTTTATATGAATTTGCTACTCTCCACGCAAATAGTGAAATGTGCTGCTCTTCCACGCAAAAATCTGAAATGTGCTAGTCTTCCCCGCGAATAGTGAAATGTGCTAGTCTTCCACGTGAGAATTTGAAATCCGCTACTTTTCGACGCGAATAATGAAATGTGCTGGTCTTCGCAGCGAATAGTGAAACGTGCTAGTCTTCCACGGTAATTTGAGATGTGCTACTCTTCGTTGGGAACGACGATATAGTGGCGACGCAAACTGCCAACCAGGTTTTCTTTGAAAAACAAAAGGGTCCTTTATTGATTTTTCAAAGAAAGTATTTTATTGTTAATTTGCTACATATTTACTTCCATTTTACAAATTAGTTTTTAAATTTTAACCCTTATTTGGCTTTACCAGTTGTAAATACTTTGAGAGCACAGCGCAAGCGGCACGCAAGTCTTCGTCGATTAATTTATTGCATATCTTCTGTAACCATTGGCTAATTTGCTCGATTAAGAGTCTTTTATACTCCCCATTTTGTCCAAAATAAGGTCTCATATAAAAATAATGAAATTCAGGCGGTATACAGCGTTCACTAATCATTTGGTAAAGAGCACACTCTTTGTTTTTTTGAAGGTATTTTTGCTTTTGGCCATTCATAGCGTTTTATGGTTGAACATTTACAATTTTTTTCAATATGTTCAACTTCTCGCTCTGTGAGGTCGTATTTTATACACATATCTACGTGATTTTTGTTATTTTGTACTGAAATTTTCCTTATAGGCGGCATACACCATGCGTATATGAAATGAAAAATAAAGAAAGAAAAATAAAATATTCTCAAAAACTCGTAAAAATTTTACATTTATCTAAATTTAAACTATCTCTTTAATTGTCACTTATAAAACACAAATTTAAAGGAAATATATGTATATTCCGAAATACACAATAAAGTGGGGTTCGTCTAACATTACCGGAGATTTCTAGCAACAGGACCGAAAGGTCCTAGAAAACATGACTTTTCCTAATATCTCGAAAACTATTTTTAAAACGATAAATGGATTCATATTCTGGTTTAGGGACCTAAAATTCAGCTAAAAAGTTGAAGTTTAGTGATAAAATTGCTCTAAAGTAGTGTAACTATATACTAGTTGCGTTTTTAGATGTTTCTTTAATAAACTTTTTAAGTAAAGAAATACTACTTATCTGCCATTATCTGCAGCCAATCTTCTCACACCCCATTAGCCAAATGTCTAGGCTCTCAACTGAACAAAGAATAAGAACGCGAGCTAACCCGGGCATATAACAAATTCCTTAATGTTCATCAAATATTACAAAAAATGCAAATACTCGCTGAACCCACTATTTTCGTTACATTTAAATTGAACTTATACTTAATATTTAAAATGATTAAACAAATTTAACACTTAAATGCACAATTAACTTCTGTATGCGGGTCCATCACTACTTATTAAGAATACAATGCAGAAATCAAAATATTAACTTAAAACCGTCACGATCTTTCTAGAGAGCGAATATTTATTTATAAGCAGCGTTAGAATATTCTGTTTCCGGTCAATGGTCAGTGATCGGACTTTAAAAAAAATTGTGTGGTAGAAACTGGAAAAAAATGTGGTAGATCTCAGGTTCTGGATCAAACTTTGTACAAAAATTGAAAACATTCTACAAGGTTTCACCTAAATTGCAAATATTTTAATTAGAATCTAAAAAAAATTTACTCAACTATAAGAAAGTGCAAGATTGAAGTTGCTAAAAATTGCGTTGAGTTTTGGCAATTTTTTTCCTTGACCGTGTAAATCAGTTCCTTCCATATCAAGATATTTTTCGAACATATTTTGAAAGATTTCTGCAACCTTGCGGTGTGCTGCCAGTTTTTCTTTTTATCACTTCACGATGTAGTGAACAAATGTGGCATGTTCCAGAAACCGCAACTTGGGATTTGCCGATTTTGACAATTCTCAAGTAAAAGTTAACAACGCGAAAATCGCCGTTTTTTAACATTTTCGCTATTAATTCTTTTTATAAATCATATATTTAACAATTTAACAATTAATTTAACACAATACAACCACATTTCCTGTCGATAAATTGAATTTTGAGAAAATTTACTATTTTACGGTTTATTTTATCCTCCTTCTGCCTGTTGTTGGCTTTTAGTGTTGTACAATTTTTGCTCTTAAAATTAAGAAAACTATGTCGAGCAAAAATAAAACTTCTCAAAACCACGAATATGTGGTAGATTTCAGACCTTGTGTGGTAGATGTGGTAGATGCTCAAAAAAGTGGCAGATCTACCATAACGTGGTAGAAGTCCGATCACTGTCAACGATGAGCGTTCGCTGTGTAAGTTAGAGAAGTGAGAGGGACTGGGAAATATTATTTGGAGTGTTCTCTATTGAATGTGACTAATTTTTTTACGTTTCCTTAAAATTTTGTCAAATTGGTTTTTGTCCGCGTAGATCGTTCAAATGTGAAATGGCTTGAAATGGAGCAAGCGTGCGGATATTTGCAGTGGTTGGAAAAACGAAAGGAGCGATGTCTTAGATGAAGCAAGGGCATTCCCTGGCGACTAGGAAGACGCCGTCACTGGATTTAAAGCCCGTATTGGATGACGCTGCGAAGATAACATAGGCCAGAGAAATTAAAATACATGTGTTGGGGTTTTCCAGCACAACGAGATTTTTTTATTGGTGACATGTATATTTTAGAATTTGTATTTGGTATTGTACTTTGATAAACAAGAGCTGGAGAGCTGCAGACGAGAGCGAAAATGATCATCAGGCGATTGTAGATGGAGGGGAAATGAGGGATGAAATTGCCCGCAGTTTACAAATGTAAATTTTTGAATTATTAAAACACATAGTCACCCCTAACTTCCAAACTTTTGCCTATATATTCAAAAATAGTACCAGGAAATGCTAGCTCGATAATTTCGGCCCCCCCTATCTTTCTAGTTTTTTCCTATGTACATACAGTATAACAAATTATACACTCAGTGCTAACAAAATAATTAGTAAATTGATTTAAAAAGTGGATATGTGGATCATCCGGTTCTGATATTGGTACCAAAATCTATTAAAAACTCGATAAAAATATCCATAACACAATCGATAAAAATATCCATAACAAAAAACGATAAAAAAAATCAATATCAAAATCGATAAAAATATCCATAACAAAATCTATAAATATAGGTAACAAAATCGATAAAGATCGATGAAAAAACGATAAATACCGATAAAAAATCGATAAATATCGATAACAAAATCCATAAATTTCGATAACAAAATCGATAAATATCGATAGCAAAATCGATTAACATCGATAACAAAATTGATAGATATCGATAACAAAATCGATAAATATCGATAAAAATATCGTTAACAAAATCGATAAAAATATCGATAAAAATATTTATAACAAAATCGATATAAATATCGATAACAAAAGCGATTAAAATATCCATAACAAAATCGATAAATATCGATAACAAAATCGACAAATATCGGTAA